AATTCAATGAAAACTCCATTGTGCCTATCGACCTCAGAGCTCTAGACAGGTAGAACGCATGAACCGCACCCTAAAAGGTACCCTTACAAAGTTAATCCTAGAGACCGGGGAAAATTAGGTAAAGCTCCTTCCTTTAGCCCTTCTTAGAGTAAGATGTACTCCTTACAGGGCTAGGTTTTCACCTTTTGAAATCATGTATAGGAGGGTTCCGCCTATCGTGCCTAAGCTAAAGGATACCCATTTACCAGAAATCTCACAAGCTAATTTATTACAGTACCTGCAGTCTCCCAACAGGTACAAGACATCATCCAGCCGCTTGTCCAGGGAGCTCATCCCCATCCAGTTCCTGACCAGACGGGGCCCTGCCACACTTTCCAGCCAGGTGACCTGGTGTATGTTAAAAAGTTCCAAAAAGAAGGACTCACTCCTGCCTGGAAAGGGCTTCATACTGTCATCCTCACCACACTGACGGCTCTGAAAGTGGATGGCATTCCAGCTTAGATTCATCACTCGCATCAAAAAGGTCAACAGAGCCCAACAAGAAACATAGGTCCCTAAGCCTGGGCCAGGCCCCTTGAAACCGCGCCTAAGTCGAGTGAAGCCATCAGATTAATTCTTTTTGTTTACCTCTATTGTTTCTTTCCGCCTAGTATGCCCTCTGCTCCACCCTGCTCTTTCCTCTTCACTTCTTTCACTACAGAACGTGCATTTGCAAACACTACTTAGAAGGCAGCGACCTCCAGTCAGCCATAAATATACTGCATACCCAGGTGGAGTCTCTGGCTGCAGTAGTTCTTCAAAACCGCTGAGGTTTAGATCTGCTATTCCTCTCCCAAGGAGATTTATGCGCGGCTCTAAGAAAGCGTTGTTGTTTCTGTGCCAATCTAAGGTCATAAAAGATACTCCTCCAAACGTTTGAGAAAATCTAGACAGACGCCAGAGAGAACAAGAAAGTAACACCCCCTGGTACCAAAATGCGTTTAACTGGAATCCATGGCTAACTACTCTCATCACTAAGTTAACTGGAGCTCTCCTCCTCCTACGGTTAGGTTGAGTCTTCGGGCCCTGTATATTAAATTGGTTTCTTAACTTTGTAAAGCAACACATAGCTTCTGTTAAGCTTATGTATCTTAAAGCCCAATATAACCCCCTTGTTATAACCGAGGAATCAATGATTTGATTCTCCAAAAACACAAGTGGGGAATGTGATACCCTAACTTGTATGAACTTGATTGACTCTCTCTTAGCTGAGAAAGCCAGACAGATTCCATTTGGCTCCTTCATTTGCAAGATATTAAGGGCTCCTTACCCACCCCCTTCCTCAAGGACTTAACTAGTGCCAGCTGACTCCCAGCATGTCAAAGAATGCAGTTAACTGATAAGATGCTGTGGCAAGCTGTGTCCATAGTTCCCAAGAATTCGCCCGGTTGATGGTACCAAACCCCCGCATTTGGTCCGGTTGGTAGCGCCCAAAGCCCAGCGTCTATCACCTTGTGATGGATTTAAAGCCCCTGCACCTAGAACTGTTTCCTTTCCTGTAACCATTTGTCTTTAAACTTTTATTGCCTGTTTTACTTCCATAAGATTGCTACAGCTAGGCTGCCCCCTCCCCTTTCTAAACCAAAGAATAAAAGAAAATCTAGCCCCTTCTTTGGGGCTGAGAGAATTTTGAGCACTAGCTGTCTCCCAGTCGCCGGCTAATAAAGGACTCCTGAATTCGTCTCAAAGTGTGGCGTTTCTCCATAACTCGCTCCGTTACAACAACTTCAGATGGTGAAAGCCACAGCAACAAAGCGGGGGGTGAAGCAGCCACCCATTTTTAAACGAGCAGATCTCGTAAGAACTCGCGATCGCAAAGACGGCACCAAGCCATGAAGCCCCAATGATCCAAACACCTCCCACCAGGCCCCGCCTCTAGCATTGGGGATTACAATTTAATATGCGATTTGGGCAGAGACAAATATTCAAACTCTATCACCAGCCATCCCTGCTGAGATGCCGGATGTGTGAGTGAAGTGACTTGGAACCTTGAGTGCAGCCCATATGCCAGTTGAATACCATCAAATGGCCTCAGTCAGTGCCACAGGGAGCAACGGAATCTCCTAGCAGAGCATGGCCCAAATTCCTAACCCACGAAATACATGGGCAGTGGTAATTATAAAGACAGTGGAGTGAATTGATTGAGTGGCCATCAGTGTGCTGAAGGAAAAAAACAACAGGCCTCAGAATAGCCATTGATCAACTTATGGCCCACGGTGAAAATCAGGAGGGGCTTCCAGAGATGTGTTTAAAGACAGGTCACACTGTGCTGACAAAGGCCTAGGACCTGATGAGAACTGCAGCGTTTGAATCAGGGCAGATGAATGGCTCTGCCAGTCCTGTGCTACAGTTGAGGAGCACAGAAGGGAAGGAGCGGAACACTGCCACCTAGGGCAGCGACGTCAGGGTAGATGGGTTCAAGAGTCTTGAATTCTAGGCTGGGTGCAGTGGCTCATGGCTGTAATCTCAGCACTTTGGGAGGCTGAGGTGGGTGAATCATCTGAGGTCAGGAGACTGAGACCAGCCTGGCCAACACAGTGAAACCCCGTCTCTACTAAAAAATACAAAAAATCAGCTGGGCATGGTGGCGCATGCCTGTAATCCCAGCTACTTGGGAGGCTGAGGCAGGAGAATTGCTTGAACCCGGGAGGTGGAGGTTGCAGTGAGCTGAGATGGCTGCACTGCACTCCAGCCTGGGTGTCAGAGTGAGACTCCATCTCAAAAAAAAAAAAAAGGCCGGGCGCGGTGGCTCAAGCCTGTAATCCCAGCACTTTGGGAGGCCGAGATGGGTGGATCACGAGGTCAGGAGATCAAGACCATCCTGGCTAACACGGTGAAACCCCATCTCTACTAAAAAATACAAAAAACTAGCCGGGCGAGGTGGCGGGCGCCTGTAGTCCCGGCTACTTGGGAGGCTGAGGCAGGAGAAAGGCGTAAACCCGGGAGGCGGAGCTTGCAGTGAGCTGAGATCCGGCCACTGCACCTCAGCCTGGGCGACAAAGCAAGACTCCGTCTCAAAAAAAAAAAAAAAAAAAAAAGGCTGGGCACAGTAATTATGGGATTATGCCTGTAATCCCAGCACTTTGAGATGACGAGGTGGGCAGATCACAAGGTCAAGAGATCGAGACCATCCTGGCCAATATGGTGAAGCTCCCTGTCTACTAAAAATAAGAAATTTAGCTGGGCATGGTGGCGCACACCTGTAATCCCAGCTACTCAGGAGGCTGATGCAGGAGAATTGTTGAACCCAGGAGGCAGAGGTTGCAGTGAGCTGAGATCGCACCACTGTACTCCAGCCTGATAACAGAGCAAGATTCCGTCTCAAAAAAAAAAGAATGTGATATTGTGACCAGTCCTGATATCCGACCGAGATGGCTCCATGAAGCGTGGAAGCAGTACATGAGAGGCAGATAACAGAACGATCGTGGAAGGGCATTGAGAAGGAGACAGAGGCCTCCGGGAGGGGGATGTGCTGGCACAGATTTATTATGCAAGATCTGAGAAGCCAGTTGACCGTATTTCTGGAGGGTTCACCAGATACTGCTTTCACTAGTGAGGGGTCTATGCATCACTGGGCAATCGGCATGGCCGTCCTCTGAGGCCAGGGTATAAGAGAGCAAATAGGACTGGAGCTGGCCTTGGAAGGGTCAGCAGGAGATAGGATTCCAGAGAGCAGAGGTTCGGTTGATGTGACAGTCAGAACAGGAGCAAGGCCAGAGTGGCTGTCAGGGAGCCTAGATGCATAGGAGTCTCTGGTGAAGGCTAATGGACCACGGTATTCCCAGGGGCCACAGCAGCCCTGACAGTGCTTGACTGCTCTAAGCAAAGAAAGATCAAAAAGAAAAAACAAGCAAACAGGACAGTAATGGCAGCTGCTGATGGAAAATCCCAACCCCTCACCCAGTTTCCAGGCCTAAGCTAGGCCTCAGACCCGGAGGTCACTGACTGAAAGGGAGGCTGGGTCCCCTCGAGACCACAAAGATTTGCAGTAGTAGTCTCCTAATTTTCCCCAAGGGGCCGGCAGCATTTCCAAGGAGCAACTGTGCACTGGGAGAAGAGAAATAGTAGATATATCAAGGGCTGGTGGGTACACGGTCTGAGAGGCCCTTTGGAGTCCAGATAAGTGGAGTCCTTGGACTTCTTTTCTCCCCTGTCTACACTTGCTCCCTTGGCGATCACACCCTCTCCTACCTTTTTCTCTTCTCTTCTCTTCTTTTGTTTTCTGACGATGTCTCTCTCTGTTGCCCAGGCTGGAGTGCAGTGGGGCGATCTGGCTCCCTGCAATCTCCACCTCCTAGGTTCAAGTGATTTTCCTGTCTCAGCTTTCCGAGTAGCTGGAATTATAGGCATGCACTACCACGCCCGGCTAATTTTTGTACGTAGTAGAGACGGGGTTTCACCAAGTTGGCCAGGCTGGTCTGTAACTCCTGACCTCAAGTGATCTGCCCCCCTCGGCCTCCCAAATTGCTGGGATTACAGGCATGAATCACCGCACCCGGCCCCTCTCATCACTTTCAGTAACCTATCCACAGCCAGTCCCAGGTGTATTGCTCCAGGCCTGACACCTCTGGTGTTCAGTCTGTTCAGTCTCATATCAAACTGCCCACCTGACATCTCCCCTGAGAGGCCTAATGGGCGTCTCACCATGGCCCACAGAGAACTGATCCACTCGATTTTCCCCAAGTTGGCCCCTCTCCTGCAGTCTCCCCATCTCAGTCAATGGCAACACCATCCTCTTAGTTGCCCCGACTGAAAACCTAGCAGCCATGCTGTATTTCTCTCACAGTGCGTATTCAATGTGTGAATGCATGAGTGGAAAGCTGAGTTTGCACTCGTGACTGGCCGGGGTCAACGCTTACATTCCCTTCCACTTGGCGCGCTGATTTGACTCTGAGCTGATGAAGGTTGGGCCCTGGCGGGCGGGGCCGGAGCGGCGGGCCTGGAGCCAGGGGGCGGGACAGACGCCACGGAAACGCGCTCGCGCCGGCGCCGAACTACAACTCCCGGCGGCCCCTGCGCTCCCCGGCGGCAAGATGGTGGCGCGCAGGAGGAAGCGCGCGGCGCGGGACCCGGAGGACTGTATCCCCAGCCCACCGGGCTACGCAGGTGAGGGGCTCCGGGACGCGAGACCGGGGGCGGCCAGGCATCGCCGGGAGGTGTTTGGGGGTTGGCGGCGGCCGGGGGTCCCCAGGAGCGGCCGCACGGTTGGGTGTGAGCTCCGGCGACCTCTAGCCCCAGCCTCGGAATCCCGAGGACCCACGCGGCGCCCTTCTGCCTGCCCATTCTCTCGGGCCGAGCCTGTCTTGGTCCACGCTTCCCTTGGATGAGCCCACCTCTGTGCACCTCTCACCCAGGGCAAACCCATTTCCGTCCACACTCTCTCGTCCAGGTGAGCCCATCCCCTTCTCATCGCCTCTGCTTCTAGTCCAGCCCCCATCAGCTCTTACTGGGCTGTTACGGGCCCTCCTACTTGGTTGCCCTCCTCTTTCTCTTTCCCCTGCTTCTGTTCTCCACCCACGTACCAGAATGTTCTTTTTAAGGCGATTTAAATTAGAGCATGTCTCACACGCCCACGATAGGCCCCACACCCACTGCATTCCCTCCAGTAGCTTTATCCACTCGTTTCTAAAACAAAAAGCAGACTTCTTAACCTGTGTGGGCCACATGGTCTGACTGGTGCTGACCTAAAGCTCTTTCTGTTTCTCTGAGGCAACATGCTTTTTCCCCCTCTGGGTTTTTACACGTGTTGTGCCAGTTTGTTGCACAGTGGCGTTTCTGGTCTGAGGTTTAATGTTGCTTCCTCAAAGAGGCCATCCCCGATAGCCTATGGAAAGAAGACCTCTGCCACCCCATGACCCTGTAATGTTTCTTTCATAATTGATACAAGCTTGCGGTATGCTTACTTGGTAATTGTCTTCTCCGTTATTGCAACTGAGCTTCCTGAGTTCAGGGACCACAGCTCTATACCAACCGGTAGTCTGACGGAGGTGTGAGAAAAATAGAAGCAGTTCCTAGCTTTATGAGATTACAGTCATGGGTGTGCCAGCGATTAACCAAAGAATCTCATCAGTATAGCCTACAGACTGTTAAGAGAAGCTGTGAAGGCACAGGCAGTGGGATCTGACCTGGCAGGAGGGGTGGAGGGTGATGCTAAGGCTCTCCTGAGGAAGCGAGGTTTGAGCTAAACCTGAAGGTTAGCAGGAGGGAAGAGGTAGAGAGGCCAATGTGTGTGAGGCCCTGGTGTACCCAGGGGAACAGGGAGAATCCAAGGTGGTGGGGAAGATGGTACAAGAAGAGACCACAGTGGCAGGCAGGGTCTCACGGAGCTTCCTGCCACGGTTAGGATTTTGGTGTTCACTCCAAGAGCCGCGGGGTTCGAGCTTCCCTTTCATTGCGCCCCCATCTGTAATCATTGCCCATTTGTCTTCTCTCTCTCTGCACCACCTTGGGAGGCCCTCCTGGGCAGACTCTTAGAGCCCGCACAGGCTTTGCCAAAGGGTAGGGTGGGGGAGTTGGTGAAGGGATGGATGGATCGATGAGCAGATAGGACTAGACAGGGATGCGGAGAAAGGAAGTTGTGTGAATGTCTTGCTGGCCTCAGCTCAGGGTAGCCTGGCCATCTCTCCCCTCCCATTTCCTTTCCAGCTATTCCAATCAAGTTCTCTGAAAAGCAGCAGGCTTCTCACTACCTCTATGTGAAAGCACATGGCGTTCGACAAGGCACCAAGTCCACCTGGCCTCAGAAGAGGACTCTTTTTGTCCTCAATGTGCCCCCATACTGCACAGAGGTGAGCTAGTGTCTGGGAGGGGACCTGTGGGCTCTAGGTGGGGGCTCCTCTAGCCTCTACCAAGTCCTTGGTGGTGAGATGGACACAGCTAATGGGAGCCCCAGAGGAGAGTGTCCAGAGGGCTACCTTGATCTCCAGTCAGGAAACTGGTTTTTTAAAGATGTTTTAAAAAGTATAATCCTGCCAGGCATGGGTGGCTCATGCCTGTAATCCCAGCACTTTGGGAGGCTGAGGCGGGTGGATCACCTGAAGTCAGGAGTTCGAGACGAACCTGGCCAACATGGTGAAACCCTGTCTCCACTAAAAAACACAAAAAATTAGCCAGGCATGATGGCGTGCGCGGGTAGTCTTGGCCACTCGGGAAGCTGAGGGATGAGAATCCCTTGAACCCGGGAGGCGGAGGTTGCAGTGAGTCGAGATTGCGCCACTGCACTCCAGTCTAGGTGACAGAGTGAGACTCCATCTCAAAAAAACCCAAAAAAACCCCAAAAATTAGCCGGACATGGTGGCACATGCCTGTAATCCCAACTACTTGGGAGACTGAGGCACAAGAACTGCTTGAACCTTGTAGGCGGAGGTTGCAGTGAGCCAAGATCGCGCCACTGCACTCAAGCCTGGGCAACAGTGTGAGACTCTGACTCAAACTAAAAAAAGGAAAAAAAAAGTGTAATCCTAAGTAGCCCAAGGCTTTTTTACGTATTACCCAAAGTTGTTTGAATTACGTGTTTTCTTTGAGATTATATGTGTCCATAATTTGAAAGTAGGAAAGTATAATGAAAAGTGCCTCTAATTTTATCCAAACACAACTGTTATTTATTTATTTTTTTAACAAAAACTAAACTAAGGGAATTGCTGGAATTTTTTTTTTTTTTTTTTTTTTGAGACGGAGTCTTCCTCTGTTGCTCAGGCTAGAGCACAGCGATCATGGCTCACTGTGACTTCCACTTCCCAGGTTCAAGCAATTGTCCTGCCGCAGCCTCCCTAGCAGCTGGAATTACAGGCGCCCACCATCATGCCCAGCTAAGTTTTGTATTTTTAGTATACACAAGGTTTCACCATGTTGACCAGGCTGGTCTTGAACTCCTGACCTGAGGTAATCCAACCCCCTCAGCCTCCCAAAGTGCTGGGATTACATATGTGAGCCACCGCCCCTGGCCAAGGGAATTCCTGGATTAGTTTTCAAAAAAGAAACCCTAATTTCTAAAACATTCCTCTAAACTTAGAGAAAAAAAGCAGCATGTAGAAGAGGGAGTGTGAGTTCTGACCTTTTTTGAAGTGCAGCATGTGTACAGGGAAGGGCCCCAGTGGCAGGTGTCCAGCTCGCTGCATCCCAGAGACAGAACATACCTGTGTAGTCAGCACCCAGGTGGAGACACAGCAGCACATCCCAGAACCCCTGCTGTCTCCTCCACCCATAACCACCGTCCTGACTGTCACAGCATAGGGTCACCACTGTTGATTCAGACAGACAACCTCCATCCTGACTGTCACAGCATAGGGTCACCACTGCTGATTCAGACAGACAACCTCCATCCTGACTGTCACAGCATAGGGTCACCACTGCTGATTCAGGTAGTAAAATTTGTCATAGAAAATCAGAATAACAGCAAGAATGTCCCCACCTGTCTCCAGTGAGAGAGCGCGGGAATATGCGGGGCACGCTGGCTCGTGCCTGTAATCCCAGCATTTTGGGAGGCCGAGACGGGCGGATCACCTGAGGTCAGGAGTTCAAGACCAGCCTGGCCAACGTGACAAAACCCTGTCTCTACTCAAAATACAAAAATTAGCCGGGTGTGGTGGTGGGCGCCTGTAATCCCAGCTACTGGGGGGACTGAGGCACGAGAATCACTTGAAACCCGGAGGTGGAGGTTGCCGTGAGCCGAGATCACGCTATAGGACTCCAGCCTGGGCTACAGAGCAGTGCTCCAACTCAAAAAAAATAAATAAATAAAAAAGAAAGAGCAGGAATATTGACCTCCATATTATCCCTGCAGAACAGGTCGGAGGCCATGGTGCCCACAGGCTCCCAGCTTGGGCAGATGTGGCTGTGGCTCTGAGTTCTTCAGAGGCGCTGAACCCCTGGCAGTGCCACCCATGGTAGAGGGAGGCTTTCGGATGCCCCTGCAGATGCTCACACTTGACTTCCCTCTCCCTGCGGCAGGAGAGCCTGTCCCGCCTCCTGTCCTCCTGTGGCCTCGTCCAGTCTGTAGAGTTGCAGGAGAAGCCGGACCTGGCCGAGAGCCCAAAGGAGTCAAGGTCGAAGTTTTTTCATCCCAAGCCGGTTCCGGTGAGCCGCCAAGCACAGGGTTCCACTAGAGTGAGGGGGGTGGGGCATTGTGCCCAGTGTGCTGGGGGAGCTGGCACTGGGACGTCAGAGCATTCTCTGGTCCTGAGCCCATCCTCACCGTGTGTGGTGTAGGAGGCTGTCCAGGTGACAAAGCCTGCGATTCCTTCCCAGATTTGCCACATCCTTGCACTTCTTGCCTGGCTTTTTCTGTCCTGTGTTAATGCTCAGGGACCATCTCTGCTGGGCGCCTGCAGGGCCTCCCCCGGCTGCCCTCCTGCTTCCCCCGCTGAGGGAGCTCCTTCCCCAGGCTTAGGGGCCGGGTCTCCAGGAGCACTGTTCCTCATGGCTTTCCCAGTGGCCCTGGAGCCCACACCTCCTCCCCACACAGTGGCATCTGGCATGGTGCATGTGCCCAGGCCTGGCTTCCAAAAACCTGCCCTGGCCCAGGGCGACCCCTGCGTGTGTCACAGCATCCCTCCTGTGACTGGAAGAAAGGCAGCCTGTGTGTCCCCTCTTCCTGAGGAAGAGCTGGGAACAGCTGTCACTTCCCGCAGAAGCAGGATCACTGGAAGTGTGGCTGCCCCTGACCTGGGTTATGGGATGGCCTCTGGTTCTCTCCATGGCTCAGGAATAGCCTAGCACTGTCTCCCCTGGTGTAGCCACCGGCTAGGCTGAGGGCGGGCCTGGAGACCTTGTGCCAGACATATGGAGACGCCCCCAGCCTCTGACATCTGTCTCTGTCTTCAGGGGTTCCAGGTAGCCTATGTGGTGTTCCAGAAGCCAAGTGGGGTGTCAGCGGCCTTGGCCCTGAAGGGCCCCCTGCTGGTGTCCACAGAGAGCCACCCTGTGAAGAGTGGCATTCACAGTACCGCGGGGGGTGACTGGCACCTCCTTTCTGGGCTCTGGGTTGGCAGGACACTCTGTGGGGCAGTGTCTGAATGTCACCAGCCAAGTCCATGCTCCCTGAGAGTGGCGTGTGGAGGCCTGGGCAGGAGGACCGCGGGGCTGTGTCTGGGTCCCCAGGGAGTCGTTAGCCTGAGCCCTTGGCATAGAGCGGCACAGGCATACTGGGCAGGCAGAGCGAGGGCCCAGCTTGCAGCCCCTGGGGTTTCCTTAGCACCTGCGTCCCGTCCCGGGCCCTGTGGGAAAAGGTCTCCATTAGCCTGGCAGGCCCTGGGGTGGGGCCCAAATGCCAGGCCTGAGGAAGCCCCGTTTCCCTGCCTCCCTTTTCCTCAGAGTGGATCAGTGACTACGCAGACTCCATGCCCGACCCTGAGGCCCTGAGGATGGAAGTGGACACGTTCATGGAGGCGTATGACCAGAAGATCGCTGAGGTAGAGGCTCC